TCAGATAGCTATGTTATGTGAGCAATACCTTAGCCTGATAATACAAGAACCACAGATAAGAGGCTACCTACTTAGAAACCCTAACAAGGCGGTAGCACAGTCTAGATAGGGGCTCCAGGGGACCACTACTTAAAAACCCTAGGAAGGGGAGTAGTCATCATGCTAGAAAACAGCTATCCTCAGATAACTATCCTCCAAAGGTCCTAACTGAAGATTGCCGAGACCGCAGAGAGTGGGCTATCTAGTTAAAACCCTAACAGGGGCGATACTACAATATAGGCAAGAGGATCAAAGACCGCTACTTAAACCCTAACAAGGGGGTGGTACTGAGCTGAAACATGGCTATCCTTGGATAGCTATCTTCCAAGGCAAGGACCCAGGACCTACTGGAGAGCTTGTGCCAAGAGGAACCCAACCTAGTCATAGAAGCCAGGCTGGAACACAGCTGCCCTCAGACCACTATATTTCAGAGCAAAGTAAGTTTGAGCTGGAGCATAATTATCCACAGACAGCTACACTCTGAGCAGTTAAAAGCCCTGAGGTGGGAGAACAGTCTACTCAGCCCAAACTTAATATGTGGGATTCAGATGGACAGCCCACTTAAAAATACCCTGAGACATGGGGAGACAGCCCTCTCCTAAACCCCTCCGGCTTAACACAGGAAGGGACATTCCCCAAAATCAAGCTAGGAATGCAGCTGTCCTCAAACAACTATGTTCCAAAAGCAATGGGCCATCCACTTGAAAAACCCTAACAAAGAGGGGAAAGCCCATACTTGGCATGTAGGATTCAGGGGGACCGCCTGCTTGGAAGACTAACTTTACTACCCAGGCTGAGTAAAAGCTCTGGAGGGGGCGCGAGGTATCATCTTCTCCCCGAAAGCGGGAGGAGTATGAGAGTGCTGGCTCACTAGCCCTGTCTATGATACTCAGATCTTGACGCACCAGACCCCTCAGAGGTAAAGAAGACCTAAACTGGCTAAGAACGAACCTCCTAAAAGCCACCGACTGCCTTCCTGAGCTCATAGACCACTGCCTTGACAAAGGAGACTGGAAGGCTAATCTAACTACAGATGCAACATCATGACCACTATGGCCATCGATGCTTTTAAGCATTGGCAGCAAAAAACTGAGTGAGGTGTGGCACAACAGCTGTCTAAGGGGACACCCCCAAACCAATCTAGGTCACTAAAACACCCTGGGAGAGATAGCTCACAAGCATCTCTCCGCAGAGCATATAAATATATCCATGCCCAGCGAGAATCTCCACACACAATAATATGCATATTAGAGAGGCACAGCCAAGCTGGCTATACTGTAGCTCCACCTGCAATCTCGCACGATCGGGGCTACACACTTTCATCATCACAAACGCTATCCGCGGCATCAGGCAACCTGTTTAGAGCAGGCATGCGGATCCCGCAGATCAACGTAATCACCAATAAACAGTACCGCGGCAATGGCGGGACTGAGCTGCGAGACACAAACATTTTGTCTTGCATTCCTTGGGAATAGGAACAAGCACGAGCGGAGCCTTGACACTTTGGCTCATCACAATGAGCGTGTAGCACTGAATGCGCATGCTCCTCACAGAGACATTAACACAAAACTCAGAATATGCCCTCAAGGCTCAGGCTCCAGACACATCGTGTGGCTCAGGGTGTACTCACACTAGGCAATCTTAACCGTGCCAAAGCGCGTTTGACCCCCAAAGCCCAATTCGTTTGACTAGTGTGATCGCTCCATACCACGCTCGGGTGCGGTTCGTTTAGCCGTCCCTGGCTTGGTTGGAAGAGGTGCGCCAAAGCACTGATCAGTTGGGCACGGGCGTGGCACGCATGTAGTGTGAGCGCTAACCGCACCCGAGCGCAGAACTTTCTGATATGTGCAGTATGATTGCGTGAACATTTCTGAGCAGCAAAAGCGATAGATCTGTTAAGTAATATATTGTGAGAGGATCGTGTGTCACCGCGCCCCAAAGACTCAAAATAATAAACCACAAAGTTAACAAAACAATGCACTCCACTGTGCTGTGCGAGAGTGCTTCTCGGCGACCTTCATGTGCTATCGGAAACTTCCTATTGCCCACTTATGAAGTCTTGATTATGAGCTTGTTGCATTTAAGTGCTTTGTTGTCGGTAATAATAAAATGTAATATTCCATTGGTTGATAACCATAAACATTCACCGCGCTAGATAGTCAGCTTGATACGATTTTGGAATTTTGTTCAAATACATGCTTATTTCACTGTGTATAATACATACAATATGCTTCAAATGCCTATATATATATAGGTACTACTTTAACGTCAAGACAAGGTGATGTAGTTGTTAAAAAAAAAGAAGAATAAAGAATAGTATTGACAGCAGCAATTGTTTTCCCCTCCGACATGCTTATGGCCCACTTAACTCGGAAACTCGAGTATCAAAATAATCTCCGAGTAGTAAATACAAATTGAGAGGCCATTCATGTCGAATTTCTGATTAGGAAACTCGTATTTCCGATAATTCCGATAGCACTTGAAGGCAGCATAAAGTGTGCTCTGGCCCGGAATGTAAAGTGCAATGTGAGTGCAGGCCAGCGGGGGAGTGGGGAGGGGGGACAATCGCGCTCGGGGTTGGTTCAAGGCAACCGTGCCTAGTGTGAGTACACCCTCAGGCTCCAGGGCGATGATCAGCTAAGTTGTTTCCATTTGCGTTGGCTCATGAATCTCGGCAGGCTCAGACTCTCTATCTGTGGTGGGCTCAGGCAAATGCTCTGTGCAGCAAGGTGATGGCTGGACGGCAAGACGTCAAAAACTGTCAGCAAGGTGTATACAGACAGACTGAAGAGACAGGAGACGAAGTTCAAACATAACATTTAATAATAATCCACAAGTTAATCCAAAACTGGGCAGACGAAAACACACCTAAACACAAACGTGACTGGACAATGAACACAGAAAAAGGTTGAACTTAATTACACTGACAAATGAGGTAAATTAACGATACACAGCTGAACAGAACAAACTAATGAGATTAGTAACCATGACAACCAAAGAGGAGCAGAAAAAGAACAAAGGAAACCAAGAAACTAATGAAAACAAACTAAAAGTCCATGAAACAGAAACTAATATATTCATGACACACACAGAAAGCCACCTCCAGACAGCGCGCAAATACTGAATTAAGTTCTATTTCCTGTCTTGTTGCATTTGGACAGTATCCTCGTCAACACAGTCAGTTATGTCTTAAGTGAATGTAAACAGTTGAAAAAGAGAATGTATGTATCATTACGCAGTATTGGATCCATGCCTGCACCTTATAGAAAATGAGTGGGGTGAACTGAAGAGGAGAAGCACAGTCATGGAGCTAGGAATCTGAAGGATCTGGAGAGATTCTGGATGAAGAAATGGTCTGATCTCTTGTCAGGTGTTCTCTAACCTCATCAGGCATTATAGGAGAAAACTCCTATACTATTTTGGCAAATGGAGGTTTCAAAAAGTATTGAATAAAAGGGTACTGTTAATTGTGCCCAATGTGCATTAGAGAAAAACGTTTATTTCATAATGATATTTCCCCCATTTTAAATTCTTATTCTCCAATGAAAGGTTAGATTTTTGTGATTTTTAAAAAATAAAAGATCAAAAGGATTAACAATACAGATTTATTTTCATAGCCTTCTTTGATCATAGGGTCTCTTTACCAAGGGTACCAACAATTCTGACCACGTGTGTATCTGCTGCTGTGTCCTTAACAGAAGACAACGAGAAAAGTTACTCTCTGCTCCTGACTGAATAGCTTAAATAACTTAAGCTTGTAACGTAAATAAATATTAATCTATATTTCATTTATACAGTAAAATCAATGCAGTGTTACATTTTACATTTGATTACTTTATTCAATTTCTGTACCTGAATACTACAGTTAGACCTACAGTACCTGAAACCTTATGAACAGCACTGTTTATTTTATTTGTATATTTGTTATGCTGCATTTATTTGTACTGTTGCTTGTAGATTGTTTATGTCTTTTGTTTGTTTTTATTTTTTTAACTTTTTTGTGGTGGGGCCAGTTAAAATTCTGAAAATGCTTGCAAAAAAAATGGAATATGAAACTTCAGAAGCACCACAAAGAGGAGTTTTGGTATTTGGTAGTGATTGGATTATCAAAATATGACAGCACAAAATACAAGAGCAACTACCTGGCTCTAGGTAATTCGGATGTCTCCACCACATGTCTTCATTCAAAGCCTTTTCTGTGCCAAAAACATTTTAAACTAATTGGGAAAACACACTGAAAACATTCTCGTTGAAAAAAAAAAAAAAAGGAACCAATGGAAGAGGTGGACAGCATGATCTAGTCACGTGTAGAATGGAGAACACAGTTGACAATGTAAAAGGCCACTGCACTGTATTGCTGGGTCAGGCTTTTAACTGGGACAGGTATATAAAGGTAGTCAAGAGCGAAGAACTGCACATTGAAACAATATCAACTTGTTGACTGTTGACAGACAGATAAAATTTTGATTTACATAAATTGTTACATAACAGCTTAAAGGCATAAATTATAATGCTGTCGAATTCCAAATATTCTATCAAATATTCCATCAAATATATCAGGATACATGATCAATAAATTAACAGATGTTTTTAATAATTTGCAGGTCATCTTCTATGAGGTCAGGAACTTCCAGGGTCGCTCTTATGAGTGTATGAGCGACTGTGGTGACTTCTCCTCCTACATGAGCCGCTGTCACTCTTGCAGAGTGGAGAGTGGTTGCTGGATGATGTATGATCATCCCAACTACATGGGAAATCAGTATTTCTGTAGGAGAGGAGACTATGCTGATTATATGTCTATGGCCCGGTTTCACATACAGGGCTTAGGTTAAACCAGGATTAGGCCATAGTTCAATTAAGTAGTTTTTAGAAATATGCCTTAGATAAAAACATTACTGGTGTGCATTTTTAGACAAAACAATGAATCTGACATATTTTAAGATCAGTCAGTGCAAGTTTCTTTCAGTTAAAACAGCCCAGACATGCATTTTAGTCTGGGACTAGGCTTAAGCCTTGTCTATGAAACTGGAGGTATGTTTGGAATGAGCAACTGCATCAGGTCCTGCTGTATGATTCCTATGGTGAGCTGTGAGCATTTTTATGTGCCCATAAAAAAATCTATGATTTTAAGGGAAATTTTTGCTAAAAAAAAAAATCAATACATATCTTTTTAAATATCCTTTTTCCTAAAAAAAACAGATGATCCTTTCAAAATTCTGATTTACAAGAGACATTGCTACACTGTTTTAGATGTGCACATTTGATGTTGACATGGCCGGTTTAACTTTAATATAACAGACTTTTCTTCCATTACAGTACAGGGGATCCTACAGAATGAGGATCTACGAGAGGGAGAACTTCATGGGCCAGATATACGAGCTGACAGATGACTGTGACAGCACCATGGACCTTTACCACGTGTCTCACTGCCAGTCCTGTCATGTGATGGACAGCCACTGGCTCTTCTATGAGCAGCCCCACTACAGAGGCAGGATGTGGTACTTCAGGCCTGGAGAGTACAGGAGCTTCAGTAATATGGGTGGCATGAGATTCATGAGCATGAGGCATATCATGTACTCATGGTACTAATATTTTATCATACTAAAGAATTAATTTCTCTCTAAAAAAAAAAAAAAAAGTGTGCATTGAAACTAATTTCAGTGTCATTAATATTTGTATGCTCACAAAAATGCCTCATAAGATAAACGCAACCATGAAATAAAATAAAATGTTATTAAACACTAAATACCTAACAGGCAAGATATGATTTACTTCAGATCTGGAAACTGTAGCAGTTTCAGGGATATGAGAACGAGTGTCATGAGACTTACTGGAGAGGTCAGAGTATGCCAGGTGACTCGGTCTATTGGGAAAAGGGCCAACATAATATCATCTCTTCTCCAAAATTAAAAACAGAATTCAGTCCGTCGTGGATTTCCATGGTGGACTGATGACAGACATAATTATTTGTTGTATCACATAAACTAATTAAAGGTGCAATTCAGTAATGTTTGACTGGCTCTATGCCTCGTGTTTGACTTTATACTGACATCTACAGGCCAAACATGGCAGGAAATAGAAATCTCAGAGACAATAATTTTATCTGTTAGTCCATCCATTCTCAATTATTAAGTGTGACTGACATAAATCGGTTAGATATTTGCACAAAATGGAGCTGCGGATCGCTGCAGTATGTTTTATTGCGCCAATAAGGACTGCTTTGGGCATTTAAGTTTGCTTCTTCCTCATTCTGTCTGGATTGTTTTCATATTGTTTTTATGTTTTGTAAATCATACTGACCCAATGCATTACAACATTTAATGTTGTATTGTTATTACTGTTAACAGTTCTGTCAAATTGCAATAAGTAGCTAATTATGTGAACTCAACATGGAAGCCCCCATCAGGTCCATTAACAATTAAGCCTTTTAGTTTTGTTAAAAAAATAAAAAAAATAAAACTTTCTTCTCCCTTTTAATAAAAAAAAGAAAAAAACCTACTGAGTGCACCTTAAAGCTGTACTCTCCAGGCCTGAAGTACCACATTCTGCCTTTGTAGTGGGACTGCTCATAGAAGAGCCAGTGGCCGTCCATCACATGGCAGGACTGGCAGTGAGACATGTGGTAGCGACCCATGGTGCTGTCACAGTCATCCATCATCTCGTACATCTGGCCCATGAAGTTCTCCCTCTCATAGATCCTCATTCTGAAGGATCCCCTGTGCTGCAATGGTAAGAATAGAAATGTACAGTTCGTGCTAAATTATTATAAGAGCATTTAGTGAATAACTCTATGGGGAATAAAGTTGTATGCATTAATTTCTTAACCATAGGGATCATTCGGCAAGATCTAATACAGTCATTCATGCCAAACATAGACATGTAGTCAGCATAGTCACCCCTTCTAAAGAAATACTGATTTCCCATGTAGTTTGGACGGTCATACATCATCCAGCATCCACTCTCTATTCTGCAAGAATGACAGCGGCTCATGTAGGAGAAGTCACCACAGTCGCCCATACACTCATAAGAGTGACCCTGGAAGTTCCTGTCCTCGTAGAAGATGACCTGAAAAGTCAGAATTATTCTTTCAATATAATGGAGTCTCTAGTTTCCAGGTTTATCAGTCTTAAGTAGCCAATAGAGTGGTTTGCGTCTTGGTGTTTCTTTTGTGTTTAAAAAACGAACGACCAAGTGACATTATCAGTCCAAAATTATTTGAGGAGTTCCTCTTCTTCCAATCCATATATCCATTTGGCATTTTTATTAAGTGCAAAATAACTGTTTTCAAAGATCAACTCGACAAGATTACTGGCAAATTCAGGTATGGATAAAAGGGGCTCTCATTTCCTTTCCCTGACACATGAGTCTGGGAAAGAAAGTTTGTTAGTATGCCACATATATATACATTCATACATGTTTTGAATATATACCTACAAGTTATATACATACACCTAAGCAGCATTTCACTTAAAATTACAAATATAGGGAAAAGGGAAATCAGTGATTTTGACTGAGAGCTGTGTTTATGATGTGTTCAAACAAAACCCAAATATACCAAACGCCTGTGCTGTCATTTTTTTGGTATTATAACAAACTCCAAACAGAAGAATTTTAATAATGGTATTTTTTTTCTAGTGTTAATAGTTTATTATGTTTAATATTTAAAGCATTATTTAGGGATTAAAAGTCTAACCACACAACAGATTTAAAAGTCAATAGTAATGCAGTAGCTATATAAACAGGCCCTGTTTTAACAGATCAATTTTGATCAACATTGTTTTTTACAAAAAGAAAGACATTAGAAAAAAAGTGTATTTCAAAATGTCTGAAAACATTATTGTGGAAAGCGTATACGACCTGTAGGTTATGTCAAAATGGATCACAATGAATGCACTCTGAATGCTTCCATACTGATCTGCTGAGTCAGGAGGTTGTCTTCAATCTCAATAGCAAGCACACAGTTTTATTCAATTCGCCCGGGTATAAAAGTAAGGGTGAGACCTGGCAGGACGACAGTACAGTGTAAAAGGAAGAGTATCAAATAATTTTAAAAAATGACTACAGCAGGCATGAGCATGTGCAGGGTAAGTAATGACATCCCTTTCTCTTACTCTAGTAAAATGCAATATGCATACCTAAGAATGCATACCTAAAATTCTTTGTAACCTCATGTTTAATCTCGTCAGGCCGTCTTCTACGAGGACAGGAACTTCCAGGGTCGCTCTTATGAATGTATGGGTGACTGTGCTGACATGTCTCCTTACTTGAGTCGCTGCCACTCTTGCAAAGTGGAAAGTGGCTGCTTCATGATGTACGACCGTCCCAACTACATGGGAAATCAGTATTTCTTTAGGAGGGGAGACTATGCTGATTACATGTCTATGTTTGGCATGAGCGACTGCATCAGATCTTGCCGTATGATCCCTATGGTAAGAGAATAATACATACTTGACTTGCCACAGAACTGGTTGCTAAATGCTCTTCTCGTAAAGAGTAGGGGTGTAACCCCGGTGTCCTGGCCAAATTCCATCAACTGGCCCTTGTCAATCATGGCCTCCTAATAATCCCCATCCACTTGATTGGCTCTATCACTCTCTCCTCTCCACCTGTAGCTGGTGTGTGGTCAGCGCACTGGCACCGTTGTACTGTGGCTGCTGTCGCATCATCCAGCTGGATGCTGCACACTGGTGGTGGTTGAGTAGAGACCCCCCCCCCATATGATTGTAAAGCGCTTTGGGTGTACAGTAATACACAATAAAGAGCTATATAAATGCCTCATTCATTCATTTATTCATGCTCTCACAACAATTTAGCACAACTTTTACATTTCTGTTTATATATTTGCAACACAGGGGATCCTTCAGAATGAGGATCTATGAAAGAGAGAACTTCATGGGTCAGATGTACGAGATGATGGATGACTGTGACAACATCATGGACTGTTACCACATGTCTCACTGCCAGTCCTGCCATGTGATGGACGACCACTGGCTCATGTATGAGCAGCCCCACTACAGAGGCAGGATGTGGTACTACAGGCCTGGAGAGTACAGGAGCTTCAAAGATATGGGGGGCATGAGATTCATGAGCACGAGGCGCATCAATGATTCCTTCTATTAAAAAGTAAATTGTATTAATGTGAGAAAATGTGTTACTTGACAATAAAATACTTCTGAACAAATCACTTAGTGGTCAAAAACTATTTTTCTAAGATTGCTAAAATCTTTAGAAATCTTACAACTTCAGTCAATGTTCTTCCAATCAAGTTCCAATCTAATCTTCACTCATTTTGTGTCAGACCATCTTATATATACATAATATATATATATTGGTAATATATTATAATATGTAATATATTATATATATTATACATAACAGAATTAGTAAATTATAGCCAATATAACGAATAGTAAATTATTTAAGCGTGCAAAGTTGTAGCAATTCAAGCACAGTTTCCCATTACTTAGTAGGCAGCAATTATAGGTAATTTCATTGAAACCACCTCAGAGCACATCACACACAATCAATTTGCATACATACTGTAGAACAGTCAATGTCCATAACGTCCTGCATGTGACACATCACATGTGTCGGTAATATTGTGGGGTGGATAATTTTTTTTATAGAATAATTAAAAGGAATATTTCAAGTTTTATCCCAGCCAAGCTCTGTCAAACAGTATCTGCTGAATGCTGTTGATTGCCACAAAAAAACATTGACTTGTTTCATGTCATACACATGCAGACCTGGACTTTGTTTCTGTGGAATGAGCTGTGACATAGCCAATGTGTCTTGCACTGCACCAGGGCTGTAGCAGTAGGCAAGGCTACTGGGTCATGAACTTGGGCATGGTAAAGGGCACAAAAAAATGACAATGCAGACTCATGGCCAGCAACCATTAGATCCAGACTATGAGCTTATAGGCCCATACAAGATCAGCAGTAATTGTAGCTGGAGCATCAATCTCATGAGTAGTAGAAGGTTCTGAGGCTGAAGCAGGCTGTGACCAGAACAGGTTGTGAGCCATGGGCCGGTGAGGCAAGAAAGAAACAATAGGGACAATATAAAAAAATAAAAAATTGTTAGACAGAAAGACATGCAAACAAGCTGAAACGGTTGCAAATCCAGGACTATGAACCAAAACATCCAACAGGAACAGTCAAGTTCTCAAAACAAGTCCATTATTTGCCTCATTGAAGGCAAATTAAAACAAGTCCAAAAATTGACTGAGGACATGAGAGGGTACATATTAAAAATATATCTAAAAATGACTGATGTCATCACCAGTCATTCTTTTAAATATCCTGGATCTGACTGAAATTTTAATTCAGCCAGAAGACACAGGAATACCCTCTGCTCTCTTCACTTAAATTCACCTAAAATTCTCAAAATTAATTCATTTCATTTTGGAGTATCTCTAATATAACAAGACTTGTGGTCTGATGAGTCTTGTTTCCTTTTACATCATGTGGATGGCCATGTACGTGTGTGTCATTTACCTGAGAAAGTGAAGGCATCACGCTCTGGGCCCTCCACCGTCTTGTCGTCGTCCCACAGTGCACATTCTGCTGAAAAACCCTGGGTCTGGCCATTCATGCGGACATAAATTTGACACGTTACTTACCTAAACATTGTTGCAGACCAAGTAGACCCCTTCATGACAATGGTGTTCCCTGGTGGAAGTGGCCTCTTTCAGCAGGATAATGCACGCTGCACACATTGTTCAGGAATGGTTTGAGGAACATGATAAAGTGTTCAAGGTTATGTCGGCGCCAATAGCCTTCTGGACACCATCAAATTATGCTTTTAGTCTGCACTTTTTGCTCTTAGCCATGCTTTTTGCCATCAGCGCCGTTCCAGCGTGCTTCGGCCTGCACGCCCGCTGCTACTTAACCACGATGAGAAGAAAAAACATCTAGTCTCGTTACTTCCTTTTATTCTTTTACTTCAGTTTATTTTCTTTCCGTTGAGAGTTTCGTGTTCTGAGTTAAGTTTTGCCACAAAGCCGTGTCTCCAAGTCCAACTCCGACTGCGCTCACATCAAAACTTCAACCAGCCCACAACTCCGCATCTTCAACCTACACCCAACCATTGGCTTCCTAAGAGCCACTTCGAACAACTACTGGACTTCCAGCCAATCAACAAACTTGGGAAACCCCTTTCTGCAATGAGGACAACAAGGGAACCCCCTAAACAATCAACGCAAGTACCTCCGAATCCTAGCTGAACTGGTACATTTAATATAAATTTTAACCTCATTTGGACACCATCAAATTATGCTTTTAGTCTGCACTTTTTGCTCTTAGCCATGCTTTTTGCCATCAGCGCCGTTCCAGCGTGCTTCGGCCTGCACGCCCGCTGCTACTTAACCACGATGAGAAGAAAAAACATCTAGTCTCGTTACTTCCTTTTATTCTTTTACTTCAGTTTATTTTCTTTCCGTTGAGAGTTTCGTGTTCTGAGTTAAGTTTTGCCACAAAGCCGTGTCTCCAAGTCCAACTCCGACTGCGCTCACATCAAAACTTCAACCAGCCCACAACTCCGCATCTTCAACCTACACCCAACCATTGGCTTCCTAAGAGCCACTTCGAACAACTACTGGACTTCCAGCCAATCAACAAACTTGGGAAACCCCTTTCTGCAATGAGGACAACAAGGGAACCCCCTAAACAATCAACGCAAGTACCTCCGAATCCTAGCTGAACTGGTACATTTAATATAAATTTTAACCTCATTGAGGAACTTAATGCGAGGGTTAATTAAGTGATTGATGGTTGTTCAGGTCTATGCAATTGCACATATTGCTATAAACTAGGGATTTCACATTTTCACTCTCT